TACTATCTAGTGCAATATTCCTAGCCTTTTTTCATAATACATACAGAACACATGATAGTCACGAGCACAGTACACTCTTTAAGGTGTTCTCAGATTTTGACTAAGCACAAAATAGTGTGGTCTTGGTAATGATTCATTTTCATCATATTCAAGGCCTTCCATGCATCACGAACAAGTTACGAGGCCCTCCTGCTCTTGTCCAGTCACAAAAACAACAGAGAACATAACTGACCGAGAATGATAATGTCACAAGACAATATTGAGTTTATTCTAAGAAGGAAAACTTTATAAACTTTGGTACTTTAGCTTTCAGGAATAACAGATTGTTTACAATAGACTGGTCAGTACTCTGGACTCATTGATACAATGTGACATGGTTATTGAGAATAACTGATATAGCTCAGTATTCCCAATTCTTAGGCCATGGGTCTTTTTCTTATTTTTTATTGAATCACCGTGAGATACAGTTACAAAGCTTTCATGTTTGAGTTTCAGTCATACAATGATCGAACACCCATCCCACCATGGGTCTTCTATAAGAAAAGTGTAGCTTGGAATTATAGGAAGGGATCCATACATCTATATGTATTCCAAGCATCATGTGTACTATTAAGACAGGCTCTAAATAAATAGCCTGTCTTAAACTTATGTTAGTACTTTTCAAATGCATACAGAGTGTGAAGAAGTGAAAATTCAAATCAATTGAAATTAATTGAAAATATTTGCTGAATTCATGGTAACATATGTTTTCTCAGTCAAATACTATCAAATATCATCTTAATGTGCTTAGAGTCTGGGATATAGAGAAGAGGGTGATAAGAATCATGGATTCTAATTACATGTGAAGGTTCATATTTTAAGACAACAATGTAAACAGACAAAGGACGATGCCTGAAAATTAGAACTCCCCCCCACCCCCGCTTCTAATGAGGTCCTTGTACCACCAGCATGGAAATCTTCAATAGTTTCTGGATAAAATATCTCTAGAATCAACTCCCTTAATAAATTCAACCAAGCTTGAGGTTAAGTCACCGTTCAAAAGACACTGTGAAAAATGCTTCTACATACAATCATTGTCAAACATTGAAAATCATTTACTAAGAGATTTTAAAGGAAGCAAGAGAAATAAACTTGTTTGCTGGCAGGACCATGTACTGATGACCCATTTCAAAGATCCATGCCTGTAGTTTAACCATTTTGCAGGGGTAGGGGGAGAACTGGAGAGTATTAAAGACAAGTTTCAGAGAAAACTTGGGATCCCCCACCACATACTATTTCTTTATTATTTTTCAAAAGTCCTCAGAAGATTTGGAAACTTGAAAACAAAAAGATGAAGGTTTTTGCCAAAGCAACTTCCAATTAACTAATGAAATTATTCTGTTTATAGTCTTCACAGAGATCTGAAAATACCACTAATTTGTCTTAAGAAGTGATGAGGAGAAGTTCTCTGATAAAGATAGAATATAAAAGATTGTTTCTTAGTAATAGTGTCAGATTAGAAATAGAGAAATTGCTGTTTAAAAATAGAAGAGATGCTTATTTAATTGCCTCAAGATGCTATGAAAAAATCTAGGCACAAGAATTCTCTATAGGAATCTAAAATAATAAGACACCAAACACATAGACTTTTAAAAATTGCTGAAGAGCACTTCAAAAACTCCCAAGTTAAAATCAGCTTTAGGGGTTGGACACATAGGTCAAGTGACAGAATGCATGCTCTAGATGTGAGAGTCCCAGGTTCAATCCTTGGGACCAGCAGGTTTCCCCATGCACTGCATGAACCCTGGAGCTCAGAAGGAGTAGACCCTGAGTATGGTGAGGTGTAGCCTCAAAACAAAAACAAACAAAACAATAGTTTTTACCAGAACCTTGACAGAGAAGGTAAAATGAATATATATTTCTAATAGCAAGAATCAAAGTGGAAAACCCTTTGAAGTCCTGTCACTGGGACAAAGACAGCAATCCACTTCAGCCCTCAACTCTGTAGTTCACGATCAGTTTTTTAAATCCCACCTTTATCCCTAAGCAATTTGTGGTTATCTTGGGTGAATGACTTTACTCTCTCAGCCACTGTCTTTTTACCTGTAAAATGGGACTGAGAGAGCCATGCCCTATCCTTACCCTTTCTTAGTGGTAATTGAGAAGATGAATCAAGAGATTGCATAAAGGCATTCTATTCAGCTCACTTAGGCACAAAGCAAGCACTAATGCTTGTTAATAATTGCTGTCAGCTCATTTTGTTCTTTCAACACCCTTTGTTTCAAATATTCCAAATAATTGTTACAAACTCCATCTTCCAATTCATATTTATACACTTATCCTGGGTTCTCATGCCATATATTCATTTTTAATCTCTCAGATCAGGCTGGAGTGACAGCACAGTGGGTAAGGTGTTTGCCTTGCAAGCTGCCAATATGGCCAGCGCGAGTTTGATTCCTCCACCCCTCTCAGAGAGCCCTGAAAGCAACCCAGAGTATCTCACCCGCAAGGCCAAGCCTGGCAAGCTACCCGTGAGGTATGCAATATGCCAAACACAGTAACAACAAGTGTCGAAATGGAGACATTACTGGGCCCGCTCAAGCAAATCGATGAACAACGGGGAGGACAGTGTTGGACAGTGTTGGAATCTCTCAGATCAAAAATTTATTTATGGTTAATAAACACATGAATAGAATATGTATATAAAGGTTGCTATTATTATTTTTCTTGTCTCTAACAATAATAGGAGTTTACAATAACAAGAGTTTAAATAAAAATCAGTGTCCTGGGCCAGGGAAATAGTAGAACGGTTAGAGTGCATGTAAGACATGAACTGACCTGGGTTTGATTCCTGCTGCCACAATGTCTCCCAGGCATCACTGGGTGTATCCCCAGAGGCCCTCAAGCATCAGTGAGTGTGACCCAAGGAAGCGTTGGTGTTTCCCCTGGGCCTGAACAACACCCCGTCTTTACTGAACTGCTGGCCTGGTTGGCCAAACATAGCCATAAATGGGCCCTTAAACATGCTTGGGAGCCCCCCTCAAAAACTCCAAACAAAAACAAAGAAATGAAAATTAATGTTCCGGATCAGAGCATGAGACAGGGGTCCAATCTCTGGCACCACAAAAGAGAAATACAGATAAAAATCAATTTCCGGTTGCGAAGTGTTTTTTGAGCACAACACTGAAATGAATACACTTTTCTCTCCTTGCCCCAAGACTTCACGTCAGGGCTGAGCTTTCACCAGTGTTGCTGAGAGATCTGTGAAGCACAGTGAGGCCTAGAGGTGTTCTGTGGGCCCCCAATGATTCACTTAGTCATGCTCTGAACACTCCAGCAGGGCTCTACAAATAGAAGGGGCAACTGCACCCCACTAACGTTCCCCCAACACAATCTAACTGATGGTTTCAGGGCTCCAACCTGGATCTTCAGAGATTCTTGAGGAGAGGAAGCTTGCACCTCAAGGCAGGCATAACTAAAAACTCCCCAGGAATTTCTAATATGTCCTTGTCTGATATATAGTCAACCACAACCCACAGAGAGAAATACATATTACACTGCATCTCAGATAGATGGACATATATACATATATACCAAAGATTTTTGTGAGAGTATGCTTATTTTCACTGAGGCTTGCTTATGTTTTTATATTTTATTTTATTCTTTTATCAAAAAATATGGAGAAACTAGAATAATGTAAAATCATTCAATATCTTCGGAAAACAATAAGACAATTCCTTTAAAAATAAGAAAAACACTTATTTGATGGTCTAGAAAATTGTGCTTATAGATACATATTTCTAAAATCAAGAAAAATATATGCATATGAGAACTTGAATAAGAATATCCTTAGAACTAGTTTTCAAAGTAGCTGAACGGTAGAAATAAAATGTCTATCAATTGATGACTGTATTTTTAAAATGTGATATATTTATGATATGAAATATGATTTTATCATAAAAAGGAATGAAGTACTTATATGTGCTATACATAAACAAACAAAACTTGAAACCATTATGCTAAGTGAAAGGAGCCAGTCACAAAACACACATACCATATAATTTCATTCACGAGGATTGTCCAGAGTGGACAAAACTATAGAGATAGAAAATAAATTAGTAGTTGCTACTAGAAGGGAAGGGGCAGGCTATGAGGGGCACATAGGCAGTTTCCTTTGGGAGTCAAGAAAATGCTTTAAAAGTTTATGTTTTTTTTTTAAGACTTTGATATTGAAAAAAACATTGAATTGTATAAATTTAGGGTATAAACTCTATTGTATGTGTAAATTCTATTGTATCTCAATAAGTTGCTTAAACCATGGCTAATAAACTTGAAAACCATGGCTGATAAATCTAATAAACTAATTTCAGCACCCAAAATGGGTCACAACATAATTAAACATCACGTTCTAGTGCCTGCTGCCTCTCGGTATGCCCTGGACCCATAATCTTCTTCAGAGGACCAGAGCTAGAAACCCTGCAGTCTTGGGTGGGTGCAGGCATGATCTATGCCATCCTTCTTCCATTCCATCACTGTGGCACAGAACCATTAGTGGTGGGCCGGTGTCTCAGTACCCTAACAGCAGGGTGGTCTTGAGTGTGGAGCCTTGACTGGAGTTTTAGAAGAGCTCTGGAAAAGCCTGGCTCAAATGGGATCCATGTCTCTTTGTCCCTTGTTCTTTCTCTCCCTCATCTGAACAAGTTGACTCAGTGCCCAGTCACGGCCTTGTGCCCGGGGTGCAGAAAAAGGCAGACACAGTGCTGGCCAAGCAAAGGCCACGTTCTGGGGCCCACTGTACCCATTCCTAATCTGCTCTCAGCACTGAAGGGAGTCTTTCGCAGCAACGGCCCCTTGAGTTTCTACATGAGATATTTCCTCCTGAACACACACTCTCTTCTGGGTACCATGAGCAAGCACAGAGTTCCTCCCAACCCAATGATACTCTCCCATCTCCAGTATCCTCGGACGGCCCTGGCCCTCCCCCAAGGCCCTAATGTGAAGCAGCATGAGACTCCACCTACCTTGTGATTTTAAATATCCTTAGTAGCCGGACACATCTCAGCACAGAGATGCCCAAAGGGGACATTATCTTGGTCTCCACCAGGATGGTCTCCAGGATGCCCCCACACACAATGAAGCAGTCGAAGCGGTTGAAGAGGGACACAAAATAGGCCTGGAGGCCCAGGCTGTACATCTTCAGTAGCATCTCCGCCGTGAAAAGGGCCAGTAACGCCTTATTGGCAGTGTCTGGCGGGTTTGGGAAAGGGGTTGGATGCAAATGCGGGGGTGAGGAGAGAGAGAGAAGCAGGAGGGGGAGAGAGGAAAGAGAGAAATGATCATCAGTGAACAACACCAAAACCAAAGGTCCCCCTTTGAGCCGTGGCACCTCTCCCATCTGCCACGGCCACGACAGAGCACTCAGGGCCAAGCCGCATCACATCCAGCATGTCTGCGCAGTGTCTGAGCCACAAGTTGCCAACATGGTGGGGGTGGGTATCTCAGGGACCCTCCACAGCTGGCCTGTAAGGAAGGTTCTCTTGATCAGAAATTTATCAGAAATGATCAGGAAAGTTTAGAGAGGAAAGTGTCCTACCCCATCAGACCAGAGAAGGGACCAGGCTTTCCAAGTCTGCCTCGTTCACTGGAAGACTGACCTCCAGCGAGAGTTCTGGAACACACCTCCACCTCCACGCTCTGCCCTGAGTTAATGACCATGTCTAATTTTCTAGGAGGGGCACTGAGGGCGAGTGAGATCTTCTGCTAGGGGGATAACTGCCAGGGTAGTATCCTCCCCTTCCTTATGTTAGGCCCTTGCCACCTTTTATTGCACCTTCACTCTTACCCTCACCTCATCTTCACAGGTTCTGGCAAGCCCACATGGCCATCCTGGGGGTATTGAAAAGCTGTTCCAGGAAGCTGGATCTGGGATGGCTAAACAAGCTGTAGCAGGTGTCCCTGTCACCTGGACCCGACAGTGACTGTTGGAGCTAGCAGATGGTGTGGGCACAGCCAGATGAGCCATGTCTAGTTATAACAAGGCTGTTCATCTTACTGTGGGGCTGGGGAGAGGCCAACACCTTTGGCATCCCAGCACTGTGCTAGTAGGACCCAGCCAGCATGAGTGAACCAGGCCAGCACCAGGTGCCTCTCACCTTGGACTTCCGTGAGCCAGTGGGGTTGGTTGTAATGTTCCGAGGCAATAGTCAGTGTGTTCAGAAACACCAGGAAAATCACAAGCCAATAGAAGACATTTGACTTGACAGCGGCCCGACACTTTCTTCTGCAGAACCGATTCCACCGGCGCCAGTAACGACTGGAGAGAAAGCAAGGAGAGAGAAGAGGAGGACACAATGAGACAGAGCATTATCAACCAGAGGGCACCCCTGCAACTTCCTTTACCACTTAACTGGCATCGTCTCATGTGAGCAGTGCAACCTGGTGATGAGGACTGAAACTCTCCGTTGAGAAAACCGAGTTCAACCCTTTGGCTGAGTTACCTGAGTCATGCCCCTTGCCGTTTCTCTGAGCCTCTTCCACTCATTTGTATGCAAACATGAGGTAACCCTCATGGGGGTGGAATGTGGGTTGAGAACGTATAATGCCATATTGTACATCTGGCTTGATACTCAAGGTGCCTAATAAGGGGAAGCATTCAGTTTTTCATATGACAATATTACAAACACTATTGCAAGTATGAACAGTATCATTCACGGCAGGGGTAGTATTTGGACTGGAACTGAATTACCAGTGACAATACCTTGGTCTTCTGTCCCTTCTCTCTAATTCTCTAAGTCATGATTTGAAGGGGTTGTCCTGATTTGAAGGAGCACTTTATCCATCTCTCAGAGGATCAAAGGCAGTTTTTGATTTCCTCCCAGGCCCTTTCATGCCATTTCTCCATGCTGAGAATTCATCCATAAAGTCTAAGGGGTGAATCTGGGTCATGGGTTCATTGCTTTATTTAGAGCCAATATTTAGAGCCCCTGTTCATAAACAAGGGCAGTCACAAGGACACACACTTCTCCACACATGTCCATGTCACACGCAGTCACTACAAAGTCCCCCATGGTTCACATAATGTCCTCACAGCCTCTTGGTTAGGGAATTCTGTCCGTGATTCTAAAATGTGGCTGCGCATAGAATTGTACTCAAAGGCTTAAAAAATATCCCCACTCCGTGCACCCACCATCAGGACCCAAATCCCAACTCCAAAACAAATACATTGGAGTCTCTGGGGGCGGGGGGGGGGGGCTAGTTATTTCTTAAAGTTCCCCAAATGACTCTAATAGATAATCAAAGCTGGGAATCAACAAGTAGAATGATCCCAAGGGGGAAAATGACATTTTGCAATTGTGTGGTGGTGGTGTTGTGTCTATTGCTTCATCCTTAGCTTCATCCTCATGATACAGAAAAAAGTGTCGAGCTGCATTGGTAGCTCCATCTACCACATATTTGCACAAACACCTACTCCAGGCAAAGGAGAGAAGGAAAGAGAAGTTGTTAGGGGTCTGGGAGGAAGACTTGAGGAAGAATAATGACAGGGCTGGAGTGATAGCACAGTGGTAGGGCGTTTGCCTTGCGCACAGCCAGCCCGGCCGAGCCGGGTTCGATTCCTCCGCCCCTCTCGGAGAGCCCGGCAAGCTACCCGTGACGTATTGGATATGCCAAACACAGTAACAATTGTCACCATGGAGACGTTACTGGGCCCGCTCGAGCAAATCGATGAATGACGGGAGGACAGTGACAGTGACAATGACAGGATATGATTTTAGACAGGGCTGGAGCAACAGCACAGCGGGTAGGGCATTAGCCTTGCACGCAGCAAACATGGCTGACCCGAGATCGATTCCTCCGCCCCTCTCGGAGAGCCTGGCAAGCTACTGAGAGTATCTCGCCCGCACGGCAAAGCCTGGCAAGCTCCCCGTGACGTATTCCATATGCCAGACACAGTAACTAGTCTCACAATGTTACTGGGCCCGCTCTAGCAAATCGATGAACAAAGGGAGGACAGTGACCGTGATTTTAGACAACCCAAACCAGCATTCCATTCACTTCTACACAGTAGAAGGAAAATGTCTCCAATCCAAGTGAGATGAAGGAGGGAATAGCTCTGTTAAGAGAAAGGAGTTCACTAAGTTGACTGAGATGACACCAAGCTTAAAGGCAGAATCAAGAGGACACTGGGCTAATTGGAGACACCAGGTGAAAGGTCAAAGGAATGAAAGTGACAGCCAAAATCTGTAGTTAGGGTATCTGGGCCAAGGGCACCTCTTATAGGTACAGAGCTTTGCTCTGGGCCAAAAGGGCTAGAGAGAGGAAGGAACACATTGGAGGTAGCTCTAAGTCATGTCGCTGTCACTGTCCTCCCATTGTTCACTGATTTGCTCGAGCAGGCCCAATAACGTCTCCATTGTGAGACTTGTTGTTACTGTGTTTTGGCATATCAAATACGTCATGGGTAGCTTGCAAGGCTTTGCCGTGCAGGCGAGATACTCTCGGTAGCTTGCCAGGCTCTCCAATAGGGGCGGAGGACTCGAACTTGGGTCTGCCGGGTTGGCTGCATGCAAGGTAAATACCCTACCCACTGGGCTAAGTCATGTATGCCTGAGAATTGAAGAGAGACTCCCTGTTTGGGTGATAAACAAGCCCAGTAGCTGATGAATCTAGATATATATCCTTCTGCTTGCCCCCAGACTATACTTTGAGATAGAATGACCTCCTCTGTGATTCTGTTAGCTCATTACCTACTCTACTACAAAACCTTTGCAAAAATATGATTAGAACAATGAGGATTGCATCCAAGAAAAGGTATTGTTTCCTCTGCATTTATCTTGCCCGCATGGCAAAGCCTGGCAAGCTCGAGCGGGCCCAGCTACCCGTGACATATTCGATATGCCAAACGCAGTCACAACAAGCCTCACAATGGAGACATTACTGGGTCCACTCAAGCAAATTGATGAACAACGGGAGGACAGTGACAATGACAGTGACAATTCAGGGAGAAGTTGGGACCTGGTTTGTAGAATAGGACGGAAGAAGCAATTAAGCAGATACTGCTCTGGCTCCCACGTCATTGAATGCTGAAAGTCATCTCCAGGGAGCAGCAAGTCTTGGCAGGGGACACTGCTTGCTCCCTAGGGGAGATTCATGGCCCTCAGGGGAAATGCCTGGAGTAAAAAAATGTGCCTTCCAATGCATGCAGGGACTCTTTCATCCCTCAGACACACCGGCCAGGGTAAGTGTGAGGTGGAGGAGATAGAAGAAGGGGCAAATCAAGGGGATAAAAGGGTCTCAAGTGGTCTTGGAATGGTGATCTCTGGAATTTACCAGGTCTGGATAGACCACAGTTTGAAGTATCATTGAGAAATTTAGTAAAGATGGGCTGGAGCGATAGCACAGTGGGTAGGGCATTTGCCTTGCACGTGGCTGGCTGGGCCGACCGGCGTTCGATTCCTCCGTCCCTCTTGGAGAGCCTGGCAAGCTACTGAGCGGGCAAAGCCTGGCAAGCTACCCGTGACCTATTCGATATGCCAAACATAGTAACAAGTGTCACAATGGAGACGTTACTGGGCCCGCTCGAGCAAATAGATGAACAACGGGAGGACAGTGACAGTGGCAGTAAAAATATTTTTTTTCCTGAAAAATCAATTCTCAGGACCAATTCATAATTTATTTTAAATAGCTTACATGATAGTTGCCAAGAATGTTTTAAATAGTTATCATCTCCTGTTTCAGAAATTGCTGATAATTGTTATTCACCACCCCAAAGAATTAAGATTCCTTTATTGCATTTTATTGTTATTATTTTACAGTGTGTGAGAACAGACTTTCAGGCAACTGAATTCTGGAAATTGCTTAAGTTCCTCCTTCTCAAAATTAGTGGTACTGGTTGGTCAAGCTTATTCTGTGGACCTGAAACAACTGTTTGAAGACCTGACTGAGAGCTGTCACAGGCTAGACAGTCCCCGTTAAATCAGGCTGTTCGTGTGCATAGGAGAGTCACATGGATTTGGGTTGGGGTGGGGGTGGGGGTAATTACTATCCAGAGAAAGTATTTAAAGATAATTATACACCTCCCACTCTTCAAAATATAGCTTTCCTTGACAACTGGTTTCCTGGCAACGCTTCCTACTGTATAATAAATGTAATGGTTTATTAGAATGTGTAAATTTATTTGTGTGTTTACATATGCACAGAGGATATAGAAATTAAATGATAAAAAAGGGAGGAGAAATCTGCCTGTTATTCACATTCCCTTCATACTAACTGCAAAAATCATTTACTCTTGAAATAGAATTTTCCATATGCAGACAGAGGAGAGAAGAGTGGATGAAGAAATGTCTAATGTCTAATATACTTCCACATCCTGAGCCAGAGCAATAGTACAGTGGGTACGGTACTGCCTTATAACTGCCTTGAACACAGTTGACCTTAGTTTGATCCCTGCCATCCCATACGGTCTCCTGAGCTTGCCAGGAGTGATTCTTGAGCACAGGGTCAGAAGTAACCTCTGAGCAGCGCCAGGTATGTGCACCTCCACCCCCCCCCCCCACACACACACAGCCCTCCCATATACTTATGTTCCCATTGTAAATATTTGCACCTTCACCTTGGGTCCGTCTTAGCCCTTCTCAATATTGGGCTATCCTCTCTTCTTCCCACCTATAGAGACTGGCCCCCAGCTTTTACTTTGTTTGATTGTTTTGGGGCCACACTCAGCTGTTCTCAGGGATCACTCACGGCTCTGTGATCACTCCTAGAGAACTTGGGGGACCACATAAAATGCCAGCAACCGAGCCTGGGTCAGATGCATGCAAGGCAAGAGCCTTTTCCACTGTACTCTCTCTCCAGATTCTTTTACCTCATCTCCTTTTAAAGGCTCCTTTCAGTTCCCTACTTCTTCACAATAAATTTTATAAACAGCCTTGGAACTCCTGTCATATTTAGCATCTGCATTACACATTTGAGTTAAAAATTTCAAAAATCTTTATGACATACCTAGTATTGAAGTTAGTATGTGAGATATCATCTTTGCTATCCAGATCTCATGTGAGTGATGCAGACCCCTAAGTAAGCAATCAAGAAGCACGCTTAGCAGGCCCAGTGCAGGTGCTTCCCAGCACATCCTAGTAGCCAGCAACGCTTCCTCCATAAAATGACTTCTAATTTTCGTGAACCATTCCATATCTTTTATTGCTCCTGCCTCTTCAGCAAGGTCCTAAGATCCTGCTGGAAAGTGATCCTGTCTTAGGCTTTGTTTTTGACCCTAACTATGTAGTGCAGTCCATATCAAACATTAAGAACACTTTGCTGACCAGTTGGTATAAACAGAGTAAGTTAATTCTAAGCAGATTGACTCTCCCTGATGAAGGCAAGGTTAAGAGCCCTAGGACTCTAGTGACCCAGGGATCAGAAGAGTGTGAGGAGTGAATTGTGCTTCTAAATTATGCGCTTGGCAAACCATTGTGGACAGATACCAGAATAGTGAACAACATCAAAATGGCACTGACTTTATATTCTTTCTAGTCGCTAGAAGTAAGTTTCTATTTTTTATTTAGCAGAAATGAGATCAATCAAGATCGGCACTTATAACATTTAATTCCTTTATACACAAGTAACTTAAAAATGGACTCTTAGAGACTAGGGGGAAAATTGCACATGTGCCATGTTGCTTATAGCATGGCAGAAGGGAACATTAGACACATTTTACTGAAAATTGGACAAGACAATCATCTTGATGACTCACAATCAGCTTGTGAATTCAAGATAGAAAAATTCTAACAGGTTATCTGGTTAATCTCTTCATGATGCAGAAGGCTTTCTGAATCATATGTTCCAAACCTGTTTAAGTCCTATTATGAACCATGAGCTTCAAATGTTTCCAAATTCCCTGTTGTAACTAATTATTTAAAGTGGAGATTTAGCTACCCAAGAGAAGAGCCTAAAACTGCCTTATTATTCTATGTTTATTAACTTGCTGAATTTCCCCCTAATTGTTCTGTTCTGATAGTTCTTGTAAATAAACTATGACCTTGTACATTGAGCACCAGTCTGATGCTCAAATTCTATTATTTCTCATTGTTTAACCGAAAGAATGATAGGGAATGTTTTAATTATTTAAGTCAAATTTTAGTTTCTTTCTTTTTTTGTGTGTCACACTTGGTGATGGGCAGGGTTACTCCTGGCTCTGCACTCAGGAATGACTCCTGGCGGTGCTTGGGGAATCATATGGGATGCTGAGAATCAAACCCGGGTCGGCCATGTGCAAGGCAATTGCCTTCCCTGCTGTACTATTGCTCCAGCCCCAGTAATATTTTAGTTTTTGTGATGAAGTAAAACAGGGTCTACTATGTTTTTAAGGTGTTCCTGAGCTGAAAATATTTCCTCTTCACCTTTCTTATACTAACATGCTCTTCTCATATATTTTATTCAACCTGGGCTCCCACAATCAGACAGACAGAAGTGCAAAGATATGTTTTTCTTACATATGTTGAGAAAACCGCAGCAACAGACAAAAATGTCCTGAGCTCTACTTTGATAACTTTGATGTCATTTTCAGTCCATTGCCAGCTTTCGATTTTGCTAAACAGAAAGCACAAGTGGGTGGTAGAATTTAGCTATCTGTGCAAACTCTTTAAGGCCATATTATTTGGTTGCGGTAGCCACCAAGCACCCCTGGCAATTGAGCACTTGAAATGTGGCCAAATCAGTATAAATAGAGATGTGAAGTAAGTGTAAAAGTACATATAAGGTGTCGAAGACTTAGTACAAAAAAAAAAACTAATTAAAAGACTTTGTTTCATACTTTTACTTTTTTGGTGTTAGTCCACGTTCAATGTGTTTGAGATACACTGAATTAAAGAAAAGATATTAGATTTAATGTCATGTTTCTTTTCACTCCTTTAAAATGGCTACAAGTATGTTTCAAAACATACCTCTGTGGGTGGCATTACATTTCTATTAAACAGTGCCCTTGCAGAACTATCCACTTCAAGCATAATCTCTACAGAAGGGTTTTACATTCCTGGGCAGGACCTTTTCAAAGATGGCACAGAGTTCAGCTAGATCCTGGATATAGGGTCTCACTTGGCCATACGTGAGCTATATCGCCTTAGACCTCTCAGTCTCAGTATACTCTGAAAACGGGTTTAATGGTATCATTGGCTAGTAATAGAAAAAAACCTTTTGGATATAGAAAGTCTGCCCTCTCTATTTCTTTTTCATTCTGTTTTAGTCTGCTTTGGGCCAGTGGTGATCAGAGGTTACTCCTGGCTCCGCACTCAGGGATTATTCCCGGGGCACTCGAGGAACCATTGAACCCAGGTCAGCTATTTGCAAGGCAAGAGCCCTACCTGCGACACTATTGCTCCCGCCACTGCCCTCTGTGTTTCTGCTGCATCTGTTCTCCTAGGGGCTGTTCTCCCCAGGGGTCAAATGTCTGCTTCCCAGAACAAATCTCTAAGGTGAACGTATCCACACCAAAGAGATATTCCAGAAGCTTAGGGAGACTACTCACTGTTTCTTAATGTTTTCAAAAGCACCAGTTAGACCATAGATCTCTGGATAAAGCAAAATTTCTAGCATCTACTAGGCAGTCTCTCACTAGCGAGGGTCCATATTGTGTTCACTTATTTATTCATTCACTCAGGTTCACTTATTTTCATGCAATGAGAATAAGAGTTTAGAAATATTTTCAAATGTATTTTTATATAAACTTGCTCTGATTTTTGTTGGGGTTTGGGAGCTGTCAGAAGCACAAAATGCTTTTTCAGTTTGGGCTGTCCGATAGCACAGCAGTAGAGCGTTTGCCTTGCACGTGGCTGGCCAGGCCGAGCCAGGTTCGATTCCTCCACCCCTCTCAGAGAGCCCAGGAAGCTACTGAGAGTATCTTGCCCGCACGGCAAAGCCTGGCAAGCTACCCATGACATATTCAATATGTCAAACACAGTAACAACAAAGTCTCAAAAATGGAGACGTTACTGGGCCCGCTCGAGTAAATTGATGAACAATGGGAGGACAGACAGTTCACATTGTCCTATTGCCTCAAAGAGCCAAAACTACTTACTCATTTAAGCATTCATTTCCTCAGAAAAATACTTATTAAATTCCTAATCAGTCCCACTTCTCCAGATGTTGGAATAAAGGAGCAAAACCTAAACTTGGTTAAGAGAAAAAGGACTTTTAAAAGCATTTCTAGAGCTCTCTTTCATGGAGTAAAGTCTGAACCTGGTGGACATTCTCTAGTTTTTTATCTAAAGGAAGGAGGTCTTGATTTCCTTGACAGAGAAGATGGAGTAAAGCTACATGTTCCAGCCCCAGTGGAACTCCAGAAGGTAGGGAGAGGTGTCAGAAGTACAGGATAGTAAGAATCCAACATCTTGATGTTCCGGGGGGATGGAGGTGTGCTGCATCCATCAGTGATCAGGTTTTATTTCTGAGTCTGTGCTCAAGAGTCTCTCCTGGCAATGCTTGCGGGACCATGTGTAGTTCCAAGGACTGAACTTGGGGTGGTCACGTGCAAGGCAAGCACCATACCCACTGTACTATCTTTTTAAGCCCACCAATACCTTGATTTATTTCTTAGTTTCTGATTTCCAATTCTTAAAAGACTGTAAGAGGGTTGCTCATATAGCCATGGGGAGGCACAGGGACACTCGACTGGATGTGAGGGTTTTCAGGCATGTGGGAGAATGTCAGTATTTGTCTTGGAGCTCAGTCTCGGCTGGCATGGAGACAGTGATGGGAAGCAGGTAGAGAAGCAAGCCTGCCATAGTCTACACATCATTATAGATCACTCTGGTGTGTGATGACCCAAAAGTGCCAGGTACTCAGGTGAGTTATGGAGCTGCTAGTGACCGTGCACAAAACTGCTCTAGGGTCAGAGAGCAGAAGTATAGATTTCAAGACCAGAGGCAAAGGATAGAAGCCCATGGACCCCTGTGGTGGATTCCCAAACCAGGTGGACCGAGCACAGCTCAGGAGTGCAGCTCAGTCAAGGCAGCCACAGTTTTGCAAAGACAGAGGATGCAGGACCGTTCTTGGACCAGCCCTCACCAGGCCTTATCTTCATTTTCTTATTTCCTGTGATCTCAAAGTCTCTCCCCAACCCCATTCTCTACCCGTACACCCTTACTCCACCCTATGCATCTAGTTCCATCCTGGAGAGGAGCTGGGGCAAAGAAACATGTAGTCCAAACATTTTACCTGAAGGAACTATTCACAATACAGGGCTGGGTTACAGTTTCCCAGCTGGACTAAGATTTATTGTTTGTTATTTATGCTCTGGCTACATAGTAGGTAAGAGCAGAGAAGAAAGATTAGATCAATTATGAAATAAAATCAACCAATACGTTTTAGCACCTACAATGTTGTGGAAGTTAATTCACATCTTCACTGCATGCATCCGTGTATTTACTTATTCAGCACACATACCAACAGCCTACCCCTGAACAGGCACTTAGTTTGAGTTTCTGAAAAGAAAATCTTAGAGCACAAAGAGCCAATGTGGCAGAAACGGAGCATGCGCCAATCACTGGAGACACACGGTGTATGTGCTGTAGCAAACATTCACGTTTTACCTCTTTTCACTGAACTTTATCTTTTCAGGGAGGGAGAATCATCAGGCCTCACAACCTCTGAGAAGCATCTGCCTGATTTTACCCAGGACACTTTTGTTTGTTTGTTTGTTTGTTGTGTGTGGGGGGTCATACCCAATGCTACTCAGGGCTTATCCCTGGAACTTCTCAGGGGACCCTATGGGATGCTGGGGATTGAACCCAAGTCAGCCACATGCAAGGCAAAGGCCGTACCTCCCGTACTGTTGCTCTAACCCCACTTCTTCAGCACAGACACAATAACTTCCCCCGTAGAAGAGCCACCTTCTCTTTACTGTCCCTCCTGGAGGCTGTTACCTCTAGCCCTCTACAGGGGATCTGGGATTGAGCTGGGGATGGAGGTGGGCAAAGGGGCAGAAGCATGCATCTCACTTACCTGAACTTGGATTTGGAGATTCGGTGACTGAAACAGAAAAAGGGAGGGTAGTGTTACCAAATGACACACACACTTTCCCCCGTCGTTCAATAGTCCCAGAGAACCTTTGGTCTGAGTGACAATGCCTGAGTCTGGGGAGATGTGTAGAGGGCATCAGAACAATTTTGGAGATAGGACCCCTCCTGGTAAATTGGTGTACAGATGTGGAGACTGAGAGCTGGTTCAATGGACACACAGTCTACATGTCTAGTAGCTTTGAAACAAAGACAAAACTCCTGGAGTGGAGAGTGCTTGTTCTCAGCCCTGTAGATCCCATGAGGCTAGTGAAGCAGGGTGCTAGGATGCTAGGAATGCTGCCCTTCGAGAAGGCAGGAGAAGGAGAGGATGGCCTCCTCTGAGGATAGGAGACTCACCAGCCAGAACACAAAGGCAGGAGTCTCCGATACTGCCTCAACAGGGGCTGGCCCATGCGTAGGAAGGAAGTGAGAATAAACAGGAGGAGCCTGCTAGAACCTAAGAGGTTACAAGAAGTCTAACCAAGCACTGCAACCTGGGCTAAAGAAACAGTCCCCCTGCTGACAGTCCTGTGCAGTCTAAGGACCTGGGACTCTGGGTCTAGAAGCACAAAAGCACTGACAGGTGTGCTAGGGGCCAGCTTAGGTTGTTGTGTGGGAATATGGATCCAGCGAAAGGCAGAACCTTCAGAAGGTTTTCTAGCTCATATAGGAGGTCCTATAGGAAGCTGAGGGAGAAGTAAAGAGGAGAGGAGTGGAAGAGAGAGGGAAGGAGAGAGACAGAGAGAGAGGCAGAGAGACAAAGAAGAAAGAGACAGAGAGAAATGGATAGAAAGGGAGAGACAGAGACAGAGGAAAGAGAGACTGAGAGAAAGGATAGAGAGGGAGAAAGAGACAGAGAGAATGGGATAGAGGGAGAGAGCCAGAGAGAGGGGAGAGAAAGACAAAGGGAGCCAGAGAAAGGAGAGAGAGAGAGAGAGGAGAGAGAGAAATAGAGAGAGAGAGAGAGAGAGAGGAGAATGTAAGCATTGAGGCAAAAATCACCGAGGCAACATCCGAAGGTTTGTTGATATGAAGTAGAGAGGTTTCAGGTGGCCCCAATTCAATACACATGTGATAAGCAGAAAGGCTGGACGCTGACCAGACATGGGTGAAGCAGGGAGCAGAGACCAGAGCAGAGCAGGGAGAAAACGGAGAGGAGGGTTGGGGAGGCATCTGCTACAAGCCCATGCTGTCCCAGCTCTGTGAGAAGCCAGCTCTGCCACAGAGCAAGAAAACAACCCCTCTCGTTATTTTTTTATTAAAAAAATTAAACCAGAAGATGTGACAGGTGGCAAAGCCATCAAGCATGAGATAATTATATCTCTGGGGCACTGAGAATCTGAGCCAAGTGCCTTTACTGTTCGGAACCGCTAGCTAATAACCTTTTCCCACCCCCAAAGACTGCCTGCTCGGGCTGGAGGGTTTAATCACATGTTAACAAAGCGTGTGGGAGGGGGACCAGGAGCCAAGGGCAGCGTTTTTATTTAGAGCCTCTGTTTAATGGGGGAAACAAATGTTTTCCAGCTGATAATTGGGTGATAGGGAATCCGGGGCCCTATCTCCTTCAGCAGGGCCTTGCCGAACTTGGGGTTTTCAGGGGTCTCCCTAGGATTGGAGAGTTAAACCCAAGCCTAAGTGATGGCTCGAAGTCACAGGCCTTGTGACTCCGTTTACTAAGCGTGTCCTGGCTCCAGGCCTTCTCTCAGATGTGTGTCTGCAATCCTCTCTGGGGTGCCTTTCGAGGCAGATCACAGGCTCTTCCCTCCCTCCTCTCTCCCAGCCCAAGCATGCACCGATGGGGAAACAAAAAACTGGTGTTTGTGTCTCCCAAGAAAATGATTCTGCGGCGTGGGCACCAGGGAGGATCAAGGTTGGAAATGAGATCCTTGTTTCAGCTATGGGTCTTCCCTTGGCATTCTAGCACATTCTAAAAAAGAGGAGATAGGGCAGGTCTTTATTTTCGGCTTAGTTACAAATCCTGATCCATAACCGCAGACACAACACTTCAAGACTGACTTTTGTTGTTGTTGCTGTTCTCAGGCAGTAAAAAAATATAATTTTAGGCTCCATGAGTCTGAAACGTGCATCCCATTCAAAGCATCTATTATGCAAGCACCCACAAGTGACATGTGTCTGAGACAAAAAACACCCAGCTCTCGGAGAGCTGAGGCTAAAACTTGGTGGGTTCTGCATGCCTTGATTCCACCATTCTTCTTGATACAGGTTGGGGTCAAGTTCAGGAACCCACTTCATCAAAATTAGGGATCTCATTGCTTGGCAACCTTTCACTTCTTGAAAGGTCACACTCTGCACTGTGTCAGTAAGTGAGCTGGGGAAAGGGGCAGGTAGGTAAGGCACCATTCCACACACTAGACTGTTCCAGGTGAGGGTAATGCTTCTTCCAGTTGGTTTGCACACCTGCTCAAAGTCTTATAAGCCCTCAGGAGTGACCTCAAGATTCTTCGTGCTCCTGTGAGGCATGTACTGTTCCTCTGCTACCCTAATCTCCCCTACCTAACCCCCCCATCCTGTCCTGATTCACCTACCCTCCTCTCCTTCCCTACCCTTCCTTCTCCTGTCCTATCCTTCCCTGCTCTCTGAGTCTACCCTACTTCTCCCTACCTACCCCACTTCACCACCCCCACTCTATCCTAATCTACCCTGTCCTATCCTGCCCTACCATTTTCTGCCCTAACCTACCTTATCTAGGATACCCTCATCCCATCTCTCCCTGCCTATTTCACCCCATACTATCCTACTCTGCCTCATACTGTGTACTGAAAGTCTTCTCCCGCTTTCCTCATAGAAGTGTTTCCTTCGGGGAAGAATTCACTCCCAGATCCTTTATCTTATGCCTTTTCATTGGTTCCTATGTAGCTTTCAAGACTGCCTGGTTTTTACTCTGATGAAATAAAACAAGGCATTACTTGGCAGTGGCTTTGTATTCTCCATTGCTTCCTCTTCCTTCCTTGGCCTCACCTCTTGAGTGGGAGCCCTGTGCCGACTTTCTACCACTGCTCCTTCCCCTTCCACTTTCCACATTCAGTGAGCCCTCAACTCCCTTTGGCTTGAGCTCTAGAATGCAGAAAGAACGGACCTACTTGTTCCTGATCTCTCAAGTTGCCACCATGCCACAAGTGAGTGGTGCTATTGGGACCACTTGCCACTTCGACCTACTTCCCTCAGGGCCACCGTTCTATCCATTCTTTTCTGAACACCAAAGGGATCTGTTAAGAATGTACCATTAATGAAATAAACCTCCCTACCCAGAGTCAATTTCCTGGCATCTCAAGCTTAATGACTTCACGTACTCTTTTAATGATGATAGAGATTGTTATGTCCAGTTTACGAGGCTCTATCCATCTCCAACCTGTCCTCCCTGCCCTTTTTACCCACCTCCTCAGCTGGACTGGTATCGTTTCAGCTCCACAAAAAGGGTTTGAAACCCACTTGTTCTGTTTGCAACATCCTTCCTTACTATTCACCTCACCATATATATATGTATATATATACATATATATATACATATATATATATACATACATATATTCAACCCAGTTGCTGGCTTGTTTTTACTCTACATAAAAGCTTATCCCAGCCATCCAGTCTAAACTGAGTCCATCCTTCTGTTACCAACCTAATATTATAGTTAATCTTCTCTCTTCATAGATATCCCAATTATTACTCATTTACTTAGAGGATATTATAGCTCCAATGAGATGGCTCTGATTTGCTCTCTGCTATCCAGCACCAATGCCCGGTATCAAGCAGGCATGGTGTTGAATGAGTGTAGCAGTAGCTTCCCCTTGCATGTTCCTCTCCCTCTTGTTTGTTGTCTGTTTCCCTCAACCCTCTTTGTCCCTATTTCTGTGTGGGTCTGATTCCCAAGGTCCAGTCTTTGCCATTCTTCTGTGAACCATCCTTATCCCATAACCATCCTTATCCCATAGAGTCAGCATAAAACTGGTAATCTTATCTGTGCTGATCTATCCTTCTTTAGCATAAGGATTTCCATATCCTGTTGAATGTCAAGGCCCAATTGAATCTGCAAAGCTCCTCCAATTGGGACCTTGCTTGAATTTGAGTTCAGCATCCTTATCATTTCCTATCTTCAGCTTGAATGGCTAATGGCTCCTTCCTCTTCATCTTCCCTACCCAGGTACCTCTGACCCACCCAAATACCCCACCACAATTATTTTCCCTCTGACCCCTTTCAGGAACCACTCTTGTTAGGCCTTCTAATTATATATTGCCCTCCCAGGGATTGATGATCCTCATCTAACTACACAAATCTATTAACTCAGCTTCAAAAATACTAGCCTTTCACCGTCATTCCACTATACTCGGCCCCCCGTTTATTTGATTTGAGCACTATTTCTCCAGTGAGAATGCTGACCGTCCTAAACTACCATTGTCTGAAATAGAGCAAAAGATGGGGGACTGAGCAGTGGGGGAAAAAACAGAACTTAATTTTTTATACAAAACCTGATGGTACTTATGGGATATCTGTGGTTTAGTGCTCAGGAGTTCACCCTGGTGGTACTTGGAGATGCTGGAGATAAAAGCTTGGGTCTTGGGCATGGAAAGCACATGTTCTAGCCCATTAAGTTCTCTTTGGCCCATGAAGTTTTAAAGTTCATAGGGTAATTATGGTATGGAGATTAGGTGTTTTACATGTACATTGTGGGTACCCAAGTGTGGACATTCATGGAGATAACAGGGAACATTTTTACAGGGCTCTCAAAGCAAGGAAATGCCAGATACATGCAAGATGCCAGTTTCCCTCTACGTGGCATAATTACGTTCTCCAACAGAGCTTCCAGGCTGAAAAACACCCTGGTAATTGCCCCCTAGTCCCTTCTGGTCAACAACTTGAGCCAAGTCCAAAAGTCAATGCCGAGTCCTAGATTATCTTCTTTCCAACCATTCTCTTCATGTCAAAACAACAGAAAAACCTAGAATGATGCCCCTGAAAGCTTGCCATTCACCTCTGCCCAGCGTGGCTGTCTGGGGCCCACTTCCAGAAATGCGAGTTCTTGTTTTGTATAGTTCCAGAAGAAAGGAAGAGAAAAAGAGGGACTGCTGCTTAAAATTGTAATTAGCCCCATATTTTAACAGCATTTTGACAATAATTGCTTCCCAACAATGCTGAGAGATCTGTGGTACAGACTCCCTGGTGCCACTGTCAGAGTGAATGATATCAAAGGCCCCACATCCCCCAGCAGACAGAAGTTATGAGGGTTGATCAGTGCCTGAGTCTGGTTTTGCCTTCTCCTTTGACTTGGAGGACTTCTCCAGGCTGGCCGCTCTTGGTCTAGAGGCATCTTCTGCCAGCCTTTTCATTCCAGGGTTATTTAGAAACTCAGTGTATCTGGGGCTGCTGCGACGTGGGGGTTTGCAGCTCTCAAGCCTCCAAGGCAAAAGGAAAAACAATTCCCAAGTCCCAAAGGCCAGAGGCCTCATTTTCAAGGTCAGTGTGACTCTAGTAGAACACGGCGTTCATCTTTGGACTTGGCATTCGAGATCCGGAAGTAACAAAGCCAGCAGTTTTGATTATTTTTTAACCAGTTTTTTTTTCCATTTTTTTTTCTTGAGGAAAAGATCCCTAGGGACAGCTCATCCCCTTTTTAAAAATTGGATGGAATGGGTGATTGGGATCATTTCTATGGAAATGATGCCTTTTGACACTGGCTCAGTCTGAGGCCAAAGTCCTTGAACTGGCTCAATCTGAGGCCAAAGTCAGCTCCACAGAGCCAGGAAAAGGGAGGACATGAACGCTCTGTTGGAGGAGATATGGAACCGCATGCATTTTTCGTTACTCAAGTTTGCATTTCAGCTACCTCAGTTTCCCCTCCCTACATGAAGAACAAACTCAAAATCGCAGATGAGGACCAACATGTTTGTCATCTCCAGTGCATTTTCTTACCTGTTTGCTTTCCTTCCAGGTCACATTAATCAGAATGGAAATGATAGTTAGCAGAACCCAATTACCCTAACACAGCAGACTTATGGGAAAGGGGTGAGAAGGGCTGGAAGGAAACAGACTTCAGAGTCACCCCCGCCCCGTTTCTTTCTCTGATAGGATGGAAGGGGCTGGAAATCCCGAGATGCAAACCCTCACAGAAGTGCAGAATTGAAGAACGACCTCAACTGAAGCCTCCCCTCAACCCCTGCTGCACCCAGGGCCCCCTTCTCCTCAAACAGGCCACTGCCCGAGGCTTGTTTCTTGCTGTAGGCTCTGTTCTCTGCCCTCCCAGTGATGACGATCCAACCCTTTCTGATTCCAGCTTCCCTGCCTGCACCCCCAGGATGGCTCCTCCCGCCCCGCCCCCGGGGCTTGCCCATGCCTACTCACGCCAGCCTGGCCCCACAGTTTTCTCCCTCGATGTCACCTCCAGCCACATTTTCTGTGTTGACCGATTCCGTCTCACTTGTGGGCATGCTCACTGCAAGACATTGTGGGTGGGGAGGAAAAGGAGAGAGGCATTAGACTGCAACATGCCCAATCAAGGTGGAGTGCTATGCGGGTGGCGAGGGTCTGAGGAGTATCTGATGGTAGGCACTGGGGAGCTGCTGGGAGGATGTTGAGGCACTGGCACTGACCTGGCCGGGTTTTTTATTTCCTCATCTGGCATGCCTGCTACTTACCGAGGGTAAGGTGGCGCTCATAAAACACTAAACTCAGGGGAATTTAGGTGAAAATCTAGGACAACCTGGCGATTGAACTGATGGGAGGCATCCAGAGATGCTAAATCCTGAGTCTTTTCCCTGCCTTCATTGTTACGGCCTTGGGAAGTTGAGTTAGCATTCGATGTATGTCTGCTACTTTTGAGAAGAGCTTCCATGGTGTTTGAAAATTATCCTTATTTCTTTAAGCACACCCATTCTAAGGGACTCGACCTCCAAGATCAGCATCCAAGTCAGTTGAAGAAAGGGCATTTCCTTTTTCATGAACTAGTAGACAAATTTGGAGAACTGCCTCTGCCTATAGCACACTTAAGTCCTGAGTCAGTTACAAATAGGACTATATCTGAAATAGAGAACTCGAAATGAATGTTTATGGCCAGGATCATGTCCTAAGATTCAGACAAGCACAGCAGAAAATCAAGAACTATGAAGAATCTGCCCAATTAAGTTTAAAGTGGCCTGAAGAGAAACTGCAAAAACTATAATACCCACCATTTTTGCCTCTCCCAGCTGTGCTCAGGGCTTAGTCCTGGATCTGCACTCTGGGATCATTCCTGGTGGGCTCAGGAGACCATATGGTGTGCTGGATGAGCCACATACAAGCCTGACTGGCTGTATTTTAGCTCTTTCTCCATACCCCACGTGATTTCCCTTCTATTAAAGTCAACCTGCTTAATCACGTTTCTATCTCCTCCCAAGATACAGTGAGCTGAATTTCCTTAGTCACAGGTGTTTTCTTAAGTTGAGACACAGCTTGGTGGCTTAGAAGAAGTCATTATTTTATTATTTTTTATTAGAATAAATGTTTGAATCAAGTGAATTCTTCACATAATATTATCCTTTCGGTATGTCAACAAGACTTCTTTATTTTTGCCAACCCTGGTTCTTCTGAGTATCCCTTACACTATCAGACTTATCTCAGTTCTTGCATAATGGAACTTATATTTATGTTGAGAAACTCACTAGCCCCCAGCAGACTATAATTAGTGAGGGTATAGCATGAGACAATGTGGCATCAATGGGACTATCACAGATCTGGACAATACTTCAACCGCTTGGGTAGATAGTGTTGATGGATGAGAAATAGTTTCCAGTTTCTTTTCTTTTGGATAAATATAAGCTGGTTTGTCAAGAATAGATTCAGGAGCATGGAAGATGTGAATAGAAAACCCACAGCTTCCCAGATGTTTGCTGTGCCTAAGGAAACTAATCACTCAAGTCTCCTTTACAATGGGCAAAAATCTATCATTTCAAAGATGCTTGGAGCTGTATGAAACGTTAGACTATTTGTGGTTCTAACTTGTCTCCTTTACTTCCAGGGAAAGGAACGAGAAGTCTTGGGAAGGGACAAGATCTGATGTTCAAAATCATGCAATGTGTCTGGGTAGGTTGTGGAATGGACTACAATGGTACAGCTCTGCATTATGTCAACTTCTCTGCACTCATATATATCAATCAACTCCCTTAAGGCTCCAAGATGAGATGCAGTCCTTACAGCTGAATTAGGAATATCAGAGGAGGGTGGTTAATAACCAAATGGTGGTACTGAATTTTGTGGCATTTACTTTCCTTTTGAAGCCCAAGTTGAGGGAACTGCTAAGTGAAACAGACTTGGGGTGGTTTTATTGCTGGGGACTGTAGAGAGACCTCCTGTACATTACAGGGTTTCTTGCTTCAGCCACTCTGAGCAAATATCCATAACATCGAAAAGCTTGGCATCTTTTAATTCAACTTCATCTCTGACATGTTTACTTTAATTCTTCAAGCATTGTTATTTAAAGAGCTGAGCTGTGTATAAACAGCTATCTGACATTTTGCTCCCAGAGAGCCCCTTATGTGCTAGTGGAATGATATGATGGTACTTGGGGCGCTAGGCTTGAAATACAATCAAATTAGAAGTGAGGCATTAGTTGGAAACGTATTGCCTTTTAAATCAAGCCCCTGTCAGCAAGAACATCTAGTTGGCATTTATAGCAATTTTATTCTTGATTGGCACTTCTTGAAGGAGGGGTTCCAACAAGGCATAGCAGCTGCTGATTGTCATGTCTGCTGACATAATCATGTGAAGTTATGATAAGGCACAGAGCTTAGTATGGAACAGGTTACTATTCTCTCTCTCTCTCATAGCACACACACACATACACACTCAACACATAGCATCACAGCCGCCAAGATAGTACCCTACCATCTAATTCAGTATGTACTATTACACATTTACACACATAGAGCACAGGGGAACATTACCATGGGTTTCTGTGGAGTGACTAAACCAAGCAAACTTCCCTTTCTTCTGATCAAGCAAGCTCGCTGGAGTGCCTCCTTTCATAGACAAGATGGTCAGTGTCAAGAACCAGGAACAAGACATCAATAGAGAGCATGCAGTCAGCCATGGGCAAAAGAAAGAAACAAATAACTCAGCTTTTACACAGAACAATACATTTCCATCTCAAAAAATAAACTTAAAAATATTAAAAAAAAACAACAATGAACCCAAACATATAAGAAAACATAACAAAACAGAACCAGAATCCCAACTCACATGAATTAACAAAAAGAAACAAATAATGAACCCTGGGGAGGGAGAATTACTCTCCTAGAGGTGATTGTACTCATGTGCATGGTTAATAGCCTTGGGGAGAGGACACCCCCAGAGGAGCTGCTCCTGTCCCTGATGTCTCCTAAGAAAGGAACCCTCTCTAAAGGTCCAACATGAATAACTGCTCACTATAACTATAGCATTGGTGTCTTCCTGGACCCCAACCCAATGGTCTGGTAACCTTATCTCTTCCTCAGCTATAGGGGATTCAAAGGCTCTCTCACTTATCTAAGGTGGGGTCACTTGCAGATAGTGAAAGAACCTATCAATCTAATGGTACTTTTGTTGACCAAAAGTCAAATTGACACATTCAGTTTGACCCAATAAATTCACTAACTGCCTCAAACCTACATGTATATACATATATTGTATATTTAATCTATTTATACTGGCAAAGAAGTTGCTAATTTGCTTCTATTTTCTTTTTATTTATTTATTTCGTGATACTGGGGATTAATCTCAGGAACATGAATAAGCTAGGCATACGTTCTACCATTTAAGCTCTCTTCCTGCTAAATTCCTTTTAAGTGGACTTTCAAAGTAATTTGTACATAGGGAGAAAAATTCTGAAAGCCTTAATCTCAGGTAATAATTTTAAGGTGATAGCAAGACCTAGAGAAACTATGGGTATTTAACATCTAATGGAACTTGACTGGTACTTGTTTTCATGTGGCCAAGGCTGCAGCCACCTGTGTGAAGAGTGAATTGAAGAGCATCTAAATGATCTCCTTTGAGGTTGAGCCGTGGTCCCTACGAGGTTTGCTCTTTGGGTAATATAGCTGAATGTTCCTTGCTAAAGTGAAAATATCTCAACTGGTATGAACTGTATATTCCATATTAGCGCCATTAATCTGTGATTGTTTATCACATAAAGCACCCAAGGGAATAGCATGGATAGAAATATAATTAGTGTTTCATTACTCAGATGGCAGGATCATACTTGATTTTTTTTTTTTGGTGGAGGTGCTGGAATTGTGGGCCATTCCAGTGGTACATAGGGACTTCTAGTTCAGTGCTTGGGAGTTGCTCCTGCTTGTCCTCATAGAACCATGGAATGCTGGGGATTGAGCTAAGGCCTCCTGTGTGTAAATGAAAACGTCCTTTTGATTTATCTCCCCATCCCCTCATAATTTATAGAGGCCTCCAAATCAGTGCTCAGAAGATATGGGCCTCCCTTTGGACAATTCTCAGCCGAGAAGAGTCGGAGAGTGCAGTGCTGCTGATCCTAGTGGTGGTTGTGACCTTCAAGGAGGCACCCAGCAATGCTTAAAGGGCCATAGGATGAACTGGGTAGAAGGAAGGTGAAGAAAATTTGGTTTCTGTGTATACATTTGTCTGAGAGCAATGGGCTGAGAGGAGAACCTTGCTTTCATTTGCAGTTTATGTCAGAATTACATACACTTTGAGTATAAAATACCCATTCTACGGATATAGAGAGGTGAAGAAAGAAGAATTTTAGAGAGAAAGTCACTTTTTGATTTTATAATTTTGCTATTATAGATATGATGGATATAATATGGGTATCTGGGCCCCCTGGCTATTGCTGAGAAAATTCTAAAGAAAATAAAATTTGTATGTGTATGAACAACTAGCTATAAAGTCATTCCTATACATTAAAGACTAGATGCCTTTATAGGTATTGGATATATTATATTTTTTCCTTGGTACTAAGTCTTTATATCTCTTCCTTTAAATTTTTTTATTAAATCACCATGAAATTTATTACATTTTTAGCAATATCATCAATGACTACAATGAATCGTTAGAAACTGCATCTTGTTAACAACTTATAATATCTTTAATTATTGCTTTCCACTCCTCAAAAACATCTATTTTATTGACAAGTCTTGTTTGGCTGTTTTTTAGTAGGATGATATCTAAATCTCAAGAGAGGTACATAATTACCGTCAAACGGTAATCAATGTTTCCTCCTGATATGCTTGGACAACTGTTGTAAGGATTTTGGGGTATTCTATCAAGCCATTTCTAATATGGGGTAATCTCCTAAAAGTGGAAATCACACAAATTATTCTTGGGAGAGGAGCATTAGATATATAAGTGATTGTCAATATTACTATTCCTGGTATGTTTGTGTTCATAAATTCTCTGAGAGATTTATTTACTAAAATTTAGGAGTTTCCCATGAAATGCCAGATAATACTT